TTTTTTTTTTTTTTTTTTTTTTTTTTTTTTTTTTTTTTTTTTTTTTTTTTTTTTTTTTTTTTTTTTTTTTTTTTTTTTTTTTTTTTTTTTTTTTTTTTTACGTTTCTGTTCTAAATTATAAGCATAATTCTGGTATATAAGACTTTTTCATTTTATCTATTTTCTCCCTCGTCTTCGATACTCTCTTGTTCGTGTTCTTCAATTCTCGAGTCTCTAACATTACCTCCTTCATCAAGGTATATAACTTATATCACGAAAACAATAAAAAAAAAATGGAATCATCAAAAGACTTTAGAACTTAAATGTTTTAATAAAGGTTTTACGTGTAAGAACCTTAATAACTCAGGACTGATGACGACATGTGTTCATCCCAATAGCTACGAGTACCGTATCGAGTGAGTTGCATTGGAATTGGAAGTACCTAACAAAACAAAAATATTTGACTTGGAAGCAAAATTTTAGGTCATGTTAGCTGAGCATGTAAACCAACTCCACCAAATGGTATTGTTGCATTTTTTTATTATATGCTCTTAAAATATATATATATAATTATTTTTTTAATATAAATGTTTATTTAAATTTGGTTGATTAAATGTTATATTTATATTACGATCATTTTTATTAGTTCTCACTAGTTTTCCTCTTTTGACTCAATTTGGAACCTGCTTGAGAAGTTCGGGAGAACTCGAACTTCGAGAGGCCGGAAGAATGAGCCTTTGAATATCCCAAAAATTGTAAGTAACAATTTAAACGTTTCCTTGAAAAATACTTTACTAAGATCGACTATGATTAGGGTAGGAACTACCTAAAAATGATGAATCGGTCCTAGTAACATGGAATTTCAAACAATTTAGACTTTTAGTGATCTGTTTAGACTATTGAAAATCTAACTGGCATGATTATGCTTTATCATAACTGGTGTGCTTGGTAATGAGTAGAAATACCCGTCTTTATTGTTAGAAAGCATGTTAGGTATTAGACCTACTCGTATGCCCACGTACGGATGAGGATTAAAATACTATGTGATATAGACGATGTATGTGCATGATAGTGAGTCTTAGCTATATTAGTTACTATACTTTGGTCTAAGAGCCACGTTAGAGTTATTAGGGGTAGTATGGGTTGACTAATACTCTGTGGGGGCAATTAAAGCGCAACCCTAGTCATGAACTTGCCTCAAAAGGTGAGGGTTTACCTAGTACAAAGAGACGTGAAATCACCCATTTAGAACCCGTGATATAGTAGAAGATGCTATTGAGGGAATTCCAATTTCGTTTAGTGCTAAGCCTGTCTTGCACTATTGAGGGAGCCTAGAATGACACTTATGAAGGAGCTTGTCAAGTACCGTGATATAGTGGATATTATGGAGCTTGTTTCGCCTGTAGAGTGACCGCTAATAGAGAGTTTTATCAAGAGCGACATAATCCATATTTGTTAAAGGTCGAGAAAGTGTTCATTCAAATTTTCAAGAAAGATTTTGAAAGTGGAGTAGGTCAAGTTTGACAGAACCACTAACTAGTATGTTATTTTCTCTAATTCTATCCTATTTATTTTGAAATTATTATATTTTTTAAAATCAATTTTAATGGTCGATAAAAGTAGATTTTAATATAATTAATTTTTAATAATTTTTTTTTTTTAATAAATAGATAACTTTTTGTAAAACTTTTTCAATTATAACCTCCAATAATTAACAAATAATATTCTTAAATTTATTTATTAAAAAATGTTATTATTATTATTATTATTGAAGGATTGATAATTGGTTTGCTAAAAAAATAATTTAGTGGGCTTTATCTTTTTCAATAATTTATAAAGTATGACTATGATCCAATAATAATATTTTTTTAATTAAATAATCATTTAGTGGCCTTTTACATTTACAAGCACTTATTATAATAACTGTTTTTATTTTGTATGGATTTCGTCCCATTATTTATTCTTTATTCATATTATTTATATTAACAACAACCTCTACTTTATCTAATTTATCTAAATATAATTATTGATATATTATTTTTTAATTTTATAGATATCATCAATATATCTAGATAATTTTATATGTCGATATAATAAAAAAAAATTAAAATAACTTTATAGATGAAAACCGTTAACACTTTATTTCAGAAATACCCTTAAATTTTCAAAACATTTCAAAAATACCCTTTAAGTTTTCAAAAATTTCATTAATATCCTTACAATTTTTTTAAAATCTTTCATAAATACATAATTTTTTATAAAAATTAAAAAATATACTTACGATGGAACCATGTTTTAAAAAATATTCATGAAATTTCAAAAGTAATAATAAAAAGTTTGAAGATAATAATAGACCGTTTTCATTCATATATTAAAATGTATTATTGAAAAAGTTTTAAAATATTTTTAGACCATATAAAATTTAGAAGTATTTTTATTTATTTAACTTAATTAGGGTATCAATTTCAATGTACGTACAAGTGAACCAGACTTGTCCTTACAGATTAGGATGTAACAGTCCAAACCCATCGCTAAATATTTCACATCCATTCTATTTCTTCACGATTAGGGTATCAATTTCAATGTACGTACAAGTGAACCATTACAGATTAGGATGTAACAGTCCAAACCCATCGTTAGTTGATATTGTTCGCGTTCACCCGTTACGTATCACTATCAATCTTACAATTTTAAAATGCATCTAATAGGGAGAAGTTTTCACAAAATGTTTTATTCCACTCTCCAATTAACGCTTCAACTTAAACAAAGGGGAGAAGGAAAGGAAGTTGGGTATTATTAGGGCGGAAGGAACGTTTGTGCCTTTAATCATCTACCACGTGGGCCATCCCTCATTATTCTATTTTATTACAATATTTAATACTATATATTCAATTTATCTTTGACTTTTTCTTTTTCTTTTTCTTCTCTTAAATAAATACTTTTATTAAATTTTAAACTAATTGAGTTTTAAAATTTAAATACGCCTTTCTTTTTCTAAAATAATACGCTTAATTTAAAAAAAAAAAATTAAAAATACTTTTTTTATTTTATATAACCGTTAATAATTCATTTTTAAAAAATACCCTTAAATTTTAATACGATTTAAAAAAAATACGCTTGAACTTTAAAAATGATTAAAAAAATATTAATAGAAAAATAACTTTAAAAATGCTCATATTTTAAAAAATGAGTTTTATTTTTTTTAAAAAAAATTAAAATATACTCTACCTTTGGGTGAACTTTCCATAATAGAGTAATATTAGTATCCCAAAATTTTTAATATCCGTACTATTAAATTTTAAGGGAAAATGATTTATGAGAGATAGATAGACGGTTTTTGTCCATATATTTACGATAAAAATATTTTAATATTTTTTTATAAAGCAAATTCACGAACCAAACAACTGTCCATTTTCTTTCTTTTTTTAATATAATGGAATCTAAACTCAAATCTAGAAATCCAAGAAGAAATGGTCCTTAAAGGTTCCTTAAATTACAAGTTTTTTGAGTTTCTTTGGATTAGTTGGTTAATAATGAGCAAGATGCGACAGAAACGGATGGAAAGATGAGGGGGACAAATCGAAGTTGAAAGTTGAAGCACATGGATCTTAATTTTTGTTTTATACAATAAGTTATTAATTAGCTCCTAGTTTTAAATATTTAATTAAAATTAATTTACGTATTAGATTACAGTTTTTGTGTTCGACTTTGAGCATAAGCTCTCATGGGTGACATTCATCTACCTACACCTCCCCTTCCTCGTCTATTAGCATGGTTAACTTTTTAAATATTTTAATAAATTGTATAATGAAATGATATTAATTACACGAACCCTAAAATACCAAATCTGACAATTCTAACGATATGGTTACCAATCTCTCTCTCTCTCTCTCTCTCTCTCTCTCCTCTGATTCAGATGCCATTTGGGTCTATTTCATAGCCCTTCCTTTTCATTTCCTCTGTTTTTAGTGCTGCAGCCGACGGTTTTCCAAAACAGAGCATCCATGGCGGACGCCAAGGTCATTTCTCTCTGTTTTTGAGTTTCTTGTCTCTGTTTTGCTTATTCTGAGAGAGTTTAATTGTTTATGCAGAAGGTTGTGGTTATGATGCTTAAAGTGGATTTGCAGTGTGATCGATGCTACAAGAAAGTGAAAAAAGTTCTCTGCAAATTTCCTCGTCAGTTCTTTCTCCATTTCTACTGTTCTTCTGTTCTTCACTCTCTTTTTCCAAATTGATTTTGTTTCTTTGAACGCCAGAAATTCGGGACCAGATTTATGATGAGAAACAGAACCTTGTGATTATCAAAGTGGTTTGTTGTAATCCTGAGAAGCTTAGAGATAAAATTTGTTGTAAGGGCTGTGGTGTTATTAAGAGCATTGAAATCAAGCCCGCCGATCCTCCTCCGCCCAAAAAGCCCGATCCTCCTCCGCCCAAAAAAGCCGATCCTCCGCCGGCTAAGCCTGACCCTCCGCCCCCTAAAAAAGCCGACCCACCACCGCCCAAGGCCGACCCTCCGCCACCGAAAAAGGCCGACGCACCACCACCGAAAAAGGCCGACCCACCGCCACCCAAGGCCGACCCTCCACCACCGAAAAAGGCCGACCCACCGCCACCCAAGGCCGAACCTCCACCACAGAAAAAGGCCGACCCACCAGCACCCAAGGCCGACCCTCCGCCGCCCAAAAAGGCCGACCCTCCGCCGCCCAAAAAGGCCGACCCACCACCGCCAGCCAAGGCCGACCCACCGCCTCCGAAAAAGGTAGACCCTCTGCCGCCGGCTCAACCCGAACCGTTCCCTGTTAACATGTGCGTGCCGGTTCCCGGATACCCACCGGCTTACCCGATTGGGATGTGCTGTAGTCAGTGCTATGAAGGGCAGGGTGGGGGCCCATGTTACAGTGGGTTTGGTAGGCCCGGCCCATGTTGCGATGGGTGCGCTTCTGGAAGGCCCATTTATGACAGTTACGGCGGAGGGAGGCCCTGTTATGTTAGCCACTGTGAATACCTCAACGAAGAAAATGCATCCGGGTGCAGTGTTATGTGAAATACGTGGCAGTTTGTGAATGGTGGTGATTAATGCTCATGTGCCTTTCACGGTCATGATAATAAGGAAGTTGGAGCTGAATTGCATTACAAGGCACTTAATGTTAAATGTTGGTTATTGGGTTTTGTATAATTCAAGTTCTTGTCAAATATAAGTGTTGGGATTTATGACCCATTTAATTTTAATAAAGTGAATTATCATTGAGTCAACTCGTCAGGTTGACTCCCAAGTGTTCGGTTCGGTCATCTCTTTAATAATAAATAAGTTAAATTTGATTTGATTTCTATCTCGGTTAAACTCTGTTTAAAAATTACTCTAATCTATAAAATTTGTATAAAATTTGTATTTACTTCATCCAACCCAATTCAAATAAGATCATAATCCAATCTAACGAGTATGGATTAAGTTATATTGATCGTTTTTTAGTTATCTTTGTATGACACGATAAGAGTTATCCATACCGATTATCTTATAAAGTAATATGAGATGGGACGATTATTTGCTCGAGGAAGGTAGGAAAATATAGGCACACATGGCCAGAACTAGATGGTAAATTATTAAGTGAAAAAAAGTAAGTCTAAAGTATCTAATTCCCTCTAGTGACCGTTCTAGGCAAAAGCCATTTTGTAGGACGGTGTGCCCACTAAAATCCCAACAATGAAACGTTGATAACCCCACAACAACTTGTACATATATACTCGAATAAGGTGGTTCAACCATGATTGACGTATACTTTTGAAAATTTATAGATAAAAATTTGAAAAAACATTGAAAATGAGCTTGATGGCGAGAAATTAGCTCATAAGGACGATAGTTTGATCTGGTTCCGCTAAAAAAATATATTGAACCAATTAGTTTTTGCAATAGAAGAATCGAACAAATATTTAATAGACAGAGAGTTGATCAATTCAATTCATATTAATTTTGGGACTTATTAAGCTCATAGAGATATGTCGTCGTCATCATCAGAAATTAAGAAATGTTGTTTCCAGATTTATTACAACATCATGGTTCAACATAAATGTTTTGAACTTTTACCAAATAACTCAATTAAATTTACAATTAGGTTCGATTTATATAAATTGATCATCTCCTCCTATTGAAACATAATGACTATTTGATGTTTATTCATCCCAATAAATTGGAGTAATTAATGAAAAAGTAGTGACCGTAAATACAAAATTAAATACAAAAAGGCTTATTTTTTAGATTTATTAACCACAACCACTACAATATCCGCCCTTGATTGGAATTTACCATTTGAATTAATGTACGATGTTTGTTGGTAGGAAACTCTTAAGAATCAACTCAAAAAAATTTTTTGGAACGAATTACTTTGATGATCAAAATCAAAAGTAAAGAAACCTCATGATTCAAACCAATCTACAAGATAGTTTGATCAAAACTACTGGAGTGATTCTAACATACAAATCTAAACACAAGAAAATGCAAAGGAACAAACTCATAGCTTAAGAAGCATAATATGTCACTTTCATGTTAATATCCAAAATCTCCGTACTAAACCAACAACATATATGATTATTTATAACCTCGAAAATAAATGTTAGAGTAACATATGGTCAATTGAAAGGTTGTAACTTTGCAACAACTTCTACTAACTCATAGTAACTTAAATCTTAAAAGTAATACTCTGAAATTGAAAATTATAATAAAACCTCCATAAATCCGAACATAACTTAACTTTAATAAAAATTTGCAACTCAAAAAATATTACCTTTCAAATATTTAAAAATTATTTTGAAGAGTGGTCCGAGAATAAATAATATAAAATATTTGAAAAATTAAAAAAATAAATAATATACGTGTATATAATTGTACCATAAATAAAAATATATATTTTAAAATTACCCGTCCAATTTATAAATTTTTTATTTATTTAAAATATTGATTATTATTTTTTAATTATTAGATTTTTTTTTCAACCTCCAACAATATCAATAGATATAATATTAATAATAATAATAATAATAATAATATATATATTTTTTTTTTTTGTCCCTCCAACCTTTCTTAGTGCATGAATAAACTTAAGAGATAGAAAATAAATAAATATTTTTAGTTTATAATACAATAATTCAATATTTGTAATTTAAAACATATAATAATTTAATATCCATTATTGATAACATAAATATAATTTTTTTTATATTCGTAGATTATTAAAGTATAAGAACTAAATTGTCGGAAAATTTAAATAATAGGGACAAATTATTACGATGAAAAATTAAATTATTATTTTCGATTTCAAAATTAATCATCCAAAAATGATATAAAAGGGTTTGGAGAATGGAAGAATCTAAATAGAAGAAAAGTGTTTGTGCTTTACCATTCATAGTGGAAGTCAACAACATGGAGTGAAAAATACACATTCATTCTCTTTGGTTCTCAAATGGAGAGAGGGACAGGCCACCCTTTTCACTTGTGATGTCTAACTTAGACGATTCCTTCACTCCTAACGGACCCACACGACAACAGTGATCGGTATCAATTGTTTTATAATGTAATAGTTGGTCGAGATTTATGAAGATAACGAATAGATAAGAGTAATTTATCTTGATTTGGTGCTTGGAAGAGTCAACATGGATAGATGATTATGAGAGGACGAGATTTGACAGTTATTTGTTTGACAATAAAACTAAGTTATCCAAGACGATGCAAGTGGAAAAAAAATAGGCCACACATTATACCGCCCCATATTCAAGATTCTTGGTTATCTCGACATTCTTCTATGACATTGTAAGGTTACTTACTTCTAGGTTCTAAGAGTGTAAGCTATCCTTACAGACTAGCATGGATTCTTTCGGTATGTTTTATCCTTACTCACATGTTTTTAAAGAAAGTTCTCACGTTTTCTCCAAGCAAAAGCACGATTAATTTTGGAGGTTCTATGATTGAGATACTGAAAAACAAAACAGGGTACACCTTATTTTTATATACAACTCTTTTATGTAAGAGTCGAAAGGCTCCACAAAGAAAGTAAGCCCAAAGTGGTGGCATGCCCACCAAAAGCTCCACAAAGTCCCAAGCATGCGCCTACAAAGTTGCTCAACTTTTGAGCTCTAAAGACACATAAAGGTCTTGTAACGGTGCAAACGAGCGTAATCTCACAAGAACTTGTATGACCTCACTGACAATTTTTCAAGCATCTAAGAGGACCACAAGAGCAATTGCTTCCAACTTAATGATTAGAGAATTGAAAAAATTCTCAAAGCGTCGGGATGTGAACTTTAAAGTCTCTTGGTCAAGAGTGTATAAGTAAAAGATTTATTTTAGAACAATTTCTAAATTCAAAGATTAAATCGAGACTTTTCAAAATCTATACTATAACTAAAATGTACATTAATTATTACTGAAAGTAATTGAAATATACTCGTTCTAAAAAATCACTTAGAATCATAGGACTTTGGAGATCATATACGGTTAAGAAACTATCAAAACAAACTTAAGAGAGAAATACATATAGACGTGAAAGTAAGAATTGATTTTAAAAAAATACATCAAATCTAGTAACAATACCTTTATCAAAGTTAATAACAATACCTTTTGGAGTAATAATAGAAAATAAGATATTTAATAAAATAGAATTTTATATATATAACCCTTTAAGACTTTAAGATTCTGTACGAGTCTCTAATGCTCACATGAAGTTTAACACATGAACCATTGTAAAATTTAGAGAATTGACTGAAATTGATGTCATGGTCATATAGGTTGACTTGAATACAAATGACAAAATCGAACTTTCTTAAAGATAAATTGGGGACACCAGCCTAAGCTAATCAGGTGAGTGGTATTACTATCGGCATAGTTATATTTGATGTTGACACGTGCCCCGTGGTTCTGCATGTGTTATATATATTGATATGTGTGGATTGTTTGTGGATCAATGTGCTTAAAATATATTATGTATATGTTATAATATGTGAATTATATGATAATACTTACGGTACAACGTGTTTAATGATATGTTTGAGATAAGATATGAGAAAGATGCAAAAAACGTAATGCAACAATAGGAGTAAGATATGTTCATGAAATGTTAAGGTTATGTTACGTATCGAAGTGCTATGGATATGAGAGTGATGAAATATTGTAATATGATATAAAAGTGATAAGGTTATGTTACGTATAAATGTTGTAATATGATATAAAAGTGATGAAATATGTTATGGTACGAGATATGTGATAAATCGACATGTTCATGATATGATATGTTGTGATGCTATATGTTATGGTATGAGATGTATATAAGAAGATGTTCGTTAGAGTTATGTATGATATGAGAATTGAAAAATGAGAAACGTATGATATGAATGATGAACGATATGTGAAATGACATGAAAAACGATATGATATAAATGGAAAGCTAGTGGGGTTATATTAAATGATAATGAAAATGAAAAAATATTGGGACCTCATGCATTATGTGTGCTCATGCATTGGGGGATACCCATATTCCATCACGAGGGAACGGACGCTTGCACCACTAGGCAGGCGAAGTATCGTTATGTTTTACATAATGTTGTCATGACGGTTATTAATTCTAATGGGTGTCCAGCATAGGAAGCTACCAAAGCAGGCTTGCCCAACAAGAAAAGGGGTCCATACTTGCATATATGGGCTGTGTGTAGAGTATATGGTACACCTCCAAACTACCCATTAGGACAGTGTTGTAGACAAAGAGACTAATATAGTAAAGTCTCATCATTGCATTCGCATTCACGTGTTCTTTCATTTAATCGCAATAGTGGGGTCACTTACCGAGTATTTCTTAAAATACTCAAAGTACGTGCTACCTCTATTTTAGGTTAAGACAAGATATTTCTGTACGACTTACGATGACATTACAACTCCAGACCATGACACATGCATATGGTAGTCGTATTATTTTCTTAGACTTAGGCTAGAATATGACGTTTTTAGTTTAAAAGTTTATTTATTTTATTTAGTATTTTGTTTTGTTGTTTTTAAAAGGTGTTTTCAAAACTGGTAAGTCCATGAATGTGTTTTAAACTTAAAGTTATGTTTTATGAAAGTTTAAATGAAGTCTTTCCGCATTCGATGTTTATGATATATATACAGTAACAACCTTAAATTAAGTAAAAAATTTCGGGTCGTTACATTGTGTCTGTTGCCCAATTTTCTATATGAAAACAACTAAGGATTTACGTCTATTTGCTTGAATATATGTATACCTAAAATGCGATTCTCGAAAAAGAC